TATCTCAGGGTAAAAGAGGTTAAAAATGGAAATCTGGTGTACCAGGTTTTTGCAGTAGTGTATTGGTTGGCTTATTCTAGTATGACCTTGAATAAATTAACTGTCTGTAGAGGCTTCAAGAAGATATTGTGTATTCTCACTTACCTGATCAGGAATTGTATTTCTGTTGATCGTCACAGATCTGCTACGACAAAGTAAATGATACGAAAGGATTTGATGAACGACCTTGGTGAGATCTTCTTGGGCACCGACGTGCTGAACAACGACGAGAACGATGCAAAAAGAATATTCGGGACAAATGCCCTTGTAATAGCAGTGTCACTTCCCCTGGAATGTCTCCACTCCTGTAAAGCATGCAAATAAGGGTACGCAAGGGATTGACTGGGATAATTTCTCCAAGCAAATATTGAAATAGAATAACTTTTATTATAAAAGAATGATTTCCAGACAATAATTCGTAGGGTTATCCCCCCGCGTCCTGAAGCGAGCTGTATTGTACCTTATAAGCTAATTTACAATAAGTTATGTTTAAGACAAAAGCGAGTTGATGACCCGGGTACGGGACGGCGAAGTTAACAATTGTTATTTCTCCAATTTAATTGTTTTACAATTCTGATTTGTATAATTAAGAATCGGACAGGCGTTACAAAGTGTGTTTCCACGTCTTCTCACGGACTCGCCCTAATGCCCTTGAACAATGAGGTTGTATTAGGTGTGAGCTCATCAGTGAGTGTCCTCTTCTCTTGGAGATGCTGTTACTTCGCCCTGGTCGGGACTACAGGTCTGGTATTACTCGTTGTCGAAAGTCCTGATGAACTCTTTGGCTACCCGGCGCCTCCCTGAAGGTTGCAGAGTCTCGTCAGCGACTTCCCTAGCACCTGGACAGCGATTCGTCGTGGATGCCACGAATCCGACCTTGTTTTCCGACTCCCGGACTGACTTTACTTGTCGTGATGTTAATTAGTTACAGTCAAAGAGCAGCGTTTCGTCTTCGTGTGTTCGCAGCAACGGCGGAAGCCCAACAACTACTGTGATTTCTCGTCGGCGTGCTCGAGGCTCGTTTTGGCGGGACCCCCTTCCATGTAGGAGCTCCACCCACTCCGCTCTTGCAGCGCCTTCCTGACTGAAGCTGGTAGTCATGTCCATTTGTAACCTTGGGTGGTCGTCCAGGAGTCTTCTATACCGACGGCTGGTTTCGGTGATCCTCTGCTTGTCCTGCAACAGGGCTAGGAGTGTTGGCTCCCACAGATGGAGTGATGAGTAACTTTGTAGTTCCTTTTGACGATACAGATGTCGCCACTTGTCTCGGAGGGTCATGCTTCGTTCACGTATTGTAACAGTGTAAAAATTAAAAAAAATCATCGAGTTTTAAAATTCAAGCAATCTGCTTGGTTAAAAAAATCCATAGATATAAATACAAATATGAGAAAGCAATCAAAAAATAAATTCGAAAAATTTTTACAAACTGATGAATAATGCTGTTCATGGAAAAACCATGGAAAATTTCCGTAATTACAAAGATATGAAATTAATCCCGAGATGGGAGGGAAGGTGGAGAACACAAACTCTATATTTACAAATGTACACATAGATGATACATTCAGGAATATGACACTTCTGATTATTCTGAAAATAATATTTATAGATTAACTACAATGTCAATTTATTGACATTATTTCATTGTTATCCACATCATAATCAACAGTATCATCATGTGTTCCTTGGAAGCTTGTAGCTCCTACATACTTATCATTCCAACATTTGGAACAAAGTTACGTTTGACAGAGATGAAAGCTTTCAACATCTCCGTGTCGTCCCATTCAAAAATAAGCCCTTGTACTACTTTGTTTCTCACACGCTACGTCATTGAATATCATTATTGAATTAGGTTTTGCTTGCTCTGGTTTCGCAACTTCTTCATGATCATTAAAAAGGAAATAACCCAAACCTTTTACAGATTTTAGTAATTTTTCTAAAAACTCATATTCGTTATCGTAATATTCCTAATCGTAATCTATTCGAGTGTATAATAAGAGCTAAAAGAGCATTTGTTTGACGGCAATTTGCGGGACCACATATCACGTCACGAACGCTACACGGTAATAAATTACCATGATGTTGAATTTTGACTGTTTGTGGCACAACGTTGTCGAAATTCGACACCGCTAATTGAGTTCTTTATTACTCAAACTTTATCTCGATTTCAACTGAAGAGCTAGAGTATAATTGTGCGATTTGTATGGAAATTATTTCTGTATGACTCAGGTTATGACACCGTACAGACGTAGCACCGGCTTAGTCAATACTATCTTAAATGCACTGATATTCGAGTTACACATTCCTGGATATCAGTATTGTAGACATGGAAAAAAGATACAAAAACGACTAGAACGTGGTGATACTGGTGTAAATTCATTGGATGCAGCGTGTAGAGAGCATGATATTGCATATTTGACAAATCGAGAAAACGCAGAAGCAAGAAACACAGCTGATAGAGTACCTGCTGAAAAAGCTTGACAAAGATTTTTTGCTAAAGATACGAATTTAAGTGAAATAGCTGCTGCATAAGGAGTTACAAATATCATAAAACTTAAATCAGAACTCGGAATGGGTTTGAACAGAAAATTAGGAAAGGATTTAACGAAAAAATCCCTGAGGCAAATTAAGGATTCTGCAAAATTTATAATGAATTCCGGTGCAAATCCTATAAAATTTGCATTAATAGCTGCAAAAAAAGCAGAAAAAGAAATTGGTGGAAAGATAAGTGTTCGAGTTCCTCGTGTATTACATGTGCCTACTGAAGTTAGCGGTGTTTTACCAATTATACTAATATCTACGTGCAATTGGAACTTCAGCTGGTAAAGCTTCAGGCATTGCAAAGGCAGTTTGCAAATGATGCTAAAGCTGCTCACCGTCAATTGGATGAAGCAAAATGTCACAATCGAAAAATAGAAGCCTTTAGTAGAGGTCTATGTTTTAAACGTTAAAAACGAAGATATGGTCTACTTTGAAACCAGTGAAAAAAACGTATAGAGCTACCACATCGAGCATTAACTAAAATCAGCATTTCGAGTAATGCAAAAATCATGAAAATTCCATACTTTCATAGAGTTTTTATAAGAAATGATTTACCGAAATCAAAACCATGGGAAAATGAGTCAGCTATTATTAACCTTGATGATAAAGATGGACCTGGAACTCTCTGGGTGGCATATAAAAAACGAGGGAAGAAAGCAATATGTTCCGATAGTTTCGGTAATTTAAAACCTTCAACTTGACTTCAAAAATATCTCGATGTTGGTAGCCTACTTAATAATCATACGAAGCAACAAGATTATTCGACAAACCGTCTGGAGACTTGGTATGGAATTTAATCTCAAAAGCTATATAAGAAGTAAAAATGAGTGAAAGTACTTCAGTCATGAATTTTTCGTTCAATAAAAACGCTGTCTTGTCAGTCTTCCACATTAGAGGTACATTAGTTACCACCTATTGAATTCGAAAGAACAAAAAATTATGTACTGGGTCTTGTTGAATTATTAATATTTAACTCTATTGTAAATATTGATTATGGAAATAATAAATTTTATTACAATATAAATGAACGAGATAAAATTACTAAAATACTAACAAGAAGCTATAAAATTGATGCATCACAGCATCAGATATAAAAAAGAAATAATTATTATATTGCCAAGAATCCGCCAATAACAGAGAATTTTCGATCATGAAAAATTTATAAATATCTATCGTTACCGATAACAACGAAAACCGTGTGGACAGTGAAAACTTCAACACAATTAGAAAAGCGGAAAGATTTAGATCAAAAATAGACAAATATAATATTAGCGTTAATCCTGTATTATTAAGAAAAATTAATTATATAAAAAAAACGAAATTAATCATGTAAAAAACAGTTTTTATTTTCTACAACAAGTTTTACAAAGAACATTTTATTCTTTTGTACACATTCAAGAATCCTTAACGAATGGAACAGAGCTATGATTACAGTCGTCCTTCGGCGGATGATGCTCGTAACATCGTCGACACATTTTAAAATATTCATATGATTTCCATTTATTTTGGGTATAGTTACCAATTTTACTGCTGGATGACGCTGTATCAATCTGCTGTCGGTAATTATTACTGATATTTTTTACTTGATGGCGCTGCTACAGCGGGTAAAAAATTTGAATTTTCAAAAACTTTCGTCAGTAACTGTTACTTACCTCTTTACCGAAGGGCGTTGTTATTTCGGTAATTTAAATTAAGTTCTTCAAAATCTCCGTCTAATTATTACCAATATTCTCTATTGTATGACGCTGCTATTGTGGAGGGTGCACGATTTGATTTTCAGAAAAAATTTAGCAATTAATTTATCGTCTGTTAGAGGGTGCTACAAGTAAATGAATTATTAACATGAATTTGATTACATTATTTCGAATGCATTGAAGTGTACTTTTTGTTGAATTAATTGTCTTGCTTTGTACAATCATTTAAGATGTTCTCTTTATGTATGTCAATGAATTTGGAGTTATTCTATTTTCCACTAAAGTAGTAAAGTGCCAACTTATTGCGTTTGATGAAGTCCAGGAACATTTTCAGCCCTGTTACTTTATACGGCTTTGTTGTTTCCAATTCTGCCATTTTTTTCTTAGAATTGTGGGTATGATTGGCAATTCTTATGTTATCCACATTTATTCAGCAATGCATTACTGTATTTTTTAGTAAAAGGCGTTAACTTAGCTCTGAATTCGATAACATTTGTGACTAAACTGACATGTCAGAAGTCTTTATTGTCTTATATATCTCACTTCAGAGGTCAATTTCCAAAACACATTTCCTAACAACGCAATTTTCTTCGTCTTGCGATTCTTAGAATAATACGTCATATTTTTTTGGAGGAAATGACGTCATAAAACATTATTTTATTATGGGAAATGAATTCATGATCTTCCTTATTAAAAAATATTGAGTAATTTTTTCTTATAATTTTTCAGGTATTTGCAGTAATACTACTGCACCGTCTGTTAGTAGTATAAATAGGATATTAAGAAATCGAGCAGCTGAAAGAGCTGCTTCGGAATTTGCACGAGTCGCAGGATACGGTTTATACTCAAGTGCAACTCATTCATATTTACAATCTGTCCATAACCATCCAAGTTCTCCTCATCTCTCAATGAATTGGCCGTCAACCGCAATTCCAGGGCATTCATGGGTACTCCCACCTTTAATAACCGGGATGTCAAGAGCTGATTCAACTTTTTTTCTTCCCGGTTCAATAGATTCTCACGATACGAATCCATCATCAACTATTACGACTGATTCTGAACATTCTATTCGAGTGACTGATGCACTTACTCGGAGGTACTTACAAGGTAAAAGTAATATTTTATTCTAAGCTATAAAAGAAATCTGTAATGTAATATATGATGTAGTCATTCATTTTTAAATCATTTAAAAAGAAGAACAGTTGTTATAAATATGCGAATGTATTTATTTACTGATGAGAAACTTGCACATTTAAAGATACATTAAGAGTGGAGCTTTCTAAAATTTCATTTATTATATTTTCTGAAGTGTCGTGCGTCTTCGTCCTGAGAAGGACGATTCAAACAAGTAGGACAAGCCCATAGAGCGTAACTCTGGAGAGATATAATGATTCCGCAACAGCGCTACCTAGGACGAACAATTTTTGTGCGTTAAAAAATACACAAGGATACACGTAACTAGCTTGCAACCCTGAACTATCGCTACGAGTCCAACTTCAATTAACCAGGTGCACCTGGTCCTGCATATCATGTTTTAACTTTGTAGCCTCAGTTACAGGGCTTAGAATTCGGCCTACTGTGTTATACTTCATCTGTTTTGGTCGATAGTTACACTTACGCGTCGTGCATTCTGTAAAAAGTATTTGAAATCTATCTGTCAATTTGCGCAAATTTCCGAAACGGCTCATCCGATAAGGCTACTTTTTTTTATGTAAATTGTTCATAACAATTCAATTTGCCATAAACAATGCAAAAAAAGATCTATGCAAGATATTTGAGTTCTTCTAAGGCGTAATTTTTTCTTTTGCTGAAAAAATGTTACCAACTGTGTTACATGAATTAAACACATACTCCTTCTATTTACAAAAATTGAATTTGTTATAAATAATAAAAAACGGGATCTTTTTGATAAATTTGAGTTTTTTCAACGTGATTATACACATTACGTGGACAAAGTCGTGTGTATTTGCCAGTTCTAAATAAATAAAGTTTAGTTTACTTGTGAATATACTTTTCAATGCAAAATTGGTTGATAAAATTTTGTCTTTTTTTCAACACAGGTTTATGACGCAATTACAAGAGATAACAAAAAAGTAATTTCTAGAGTCATAGATTACACTTCTGTCCGTCAATGTATATTCTTTTACATCGTATTCACATGTACGTTCGAAGTGCGGTTTTATGTAAAATAAACTTTTTAAATTGAGATAGTTGACCTTGAATAAATGTAAAGAAGTTGAAAATTGCTGAATAGTCAAACATAAGTATGTAATATTAACTGTAATTACTCTATCTTCTCCATTAGACAAGGTGAAGTAATAACTATTGCATTGTTTTTTTAGTAGTTTTATGCAGTTCGAAGAACTTTTAACGCGTCTTTTCATCAGATAGAGAACAAGAGTTGAGCAAGAATATGATTGTGCATGTGGCGTCAGCCTTTCAATGCAATGCAAAATGAATTTAATGTAATTTCGTAAATTTACTATGGAATGTCTTGAAATGTTAGTTGATTTTGATTGTAGAATAACAATTGAATATTTCTAGTGATTTAGAATAGCACTAGCACTAATGATTGACTCAAAACCTCAAGATTGTCTGGAAAAGAATGTGAATGGCGTGTACACGTAAAAGAGAACAGTGAAAGAATGGCGACAGGAACTTCATGAGTCAAAAAGGACACTGAAAATTAGTCAAATGAGTGACTAGATTAACAATTATTGATTATTTGGTCGATTGGTTATCGACCCAGTCCCAAGAAGGCCGCCGAAGTTCCTGTCAGCTGGCAAATTCAAACTGAGAATTGATTGGGTTTAAGTCTGGACTTTGTGCTGGCCACAGTAATAGTTGAAACTTTTGAGAAACAAGCTGGACTGTCCCTAATACTTAACTTCCTCGGCCGACCACCAAGTTTTTTTTTTAAATCACTTTTGCACGTCTTTCTTATCCTTTGAACTGTACTTTGACTCACATTTAATATTGCAGCCATTTGACGTGTACTATTGCCTTCGATTAACATCTCTTTTATTTTATTACGTATTGATCTTGAAAACTGCCTTATATTTAAAACCAATTGAAACTGTATTTATATTACATATTTGAGTATAAATATTAAATATATAAGCGGTTTCGGTATAAATTTGTGTATTATTGATTTATTTAATCGCTCAAAGAAATAAATACGTTGCTTTGTCAAGTAGCGGTGCATAACTGAGTCACACACTCAACGAAATAAACAAGTTCAAACGCGTTTCTACTTTGATTAACAGACAGTACGTGCGGTTTCTTTTTGCGTGTAGTAAGTAAACACGTCGCTACAGTTTTAAAAACAAAAGAAATGAAAGTTATTACCTATTTTAAAGACATTGGTTCAGTTTTGCACCAAAGTGTATGTATGTATGGACGTCAGCGTTTCTTCCGTTTATAATATCTCGAGAACGGATTAAGATATCGACTTCAACCAAAATTAATTCGAAAGATATTATCATAAAGAAGATCTGAGTAAAATCTGAACAAATGTGGTAGAGCTGTTGTTTTGTTATAACAAAATAACTAATAAAAAAATGAAGAGATTAAATATTTAAAATACTTTTAACTCAAACAATAACAATTTCATTTGAAAATTGAGTCGATACTGACAAGACATTATTGTTCACAACCAAATATGACTTTCAACGATTACAGATTTTTTATAACAATAAGTATTTATTGAATAAGTAATGTTTTTGTCACATAGATTTGGATGCTTCCAACAAACATTAATTATAACTATTAAAATTTGTGATAAACAATTACTAATGGGAAGTTCGTCATGTTAGCACAGATAATGTGTGCTCAGACCTATTTTTGCTCAATGAAATTTTAATCTTCTGTTTCTTATTCTATATTTACAGTTTCTGGTGATAAATTTGATTTTGATTTTATCGAGACTGCTCAAATCAAGATTTCTAATATTAAGGTTAATTTAAAGATCGTTCTCGCTGAAATTAAAGAAGAATGTATTTTAGGATTAGATTTCTTAATCAACTCTGGTTCATTTACTGAATTCAAAGATTTTTTTAATAAAAAATTCTTAGAAGGTAATAAAGTTGTTTCAAATTAATTCTTTTTCGAATAAACTTCCAGAATTTGTTCTAGATTTGTACGAAGGATCTTTAGAATTTTTGGATGACAGTGTGTTGCGAGAGGTTAATCGCAACCTGTCAGTTGGACTCGCTCTCGTCCCAGCTCGTGCTCAGTCGAGCTCACCCGATCCGTTCGCCCTATCCTAGCTCTTGTTTCAGCGCTCGGCGAATTCTAGCTCTTCTTCTCCAATCTAACCAATGACAGTTGCTCTATCATTGTGTTAGGTCTACCGACGCCGGCTACAACGTGTTTGCAGCCATTAACGCTCAAGCGACGCTCAAGTACACGTGCTCGATTATCGCTCGCTCCTATTTTGCAAATCCTAATCATCTCAAGCTCTTGATAAATTCTATTCAGTTTCGATAAAGTTCAGTTAAGCTCGTAAATTGTTAATAAGTCATTGTTAACGTGAAAAATACTTTATTTTTGTTATAAAACCTATAATTAAGCTCAAAAAAAATGTCTATTGTGTATGTGCACCTCTCCTGACCACATCCTACGGCGTAGCTCAATCGCTATCGATCTTTTAGCTCTAACTAAATCAACCCAATCAATAATTTTCGGTTTTCAAAATACACAGTGATAAACTCCGTTTCGAAGGACTATTACTGAAGAATGTAGATATTTGTGCGAAAATTTTTTTTGATTCACCAAAGTGCGCAATTTTACAATATGAAATAAATTTTGGAAATGCACTTTCTATTGAACAGGCTCCTCATCGTATTCTTTACATTATAGGGATAAAGTTGATTCAATTATGGAAGAAATGAAACAACAGAACGCAATGGCTGCACCTCAATTGCGGACGAGGCCCAAAAATGGAGCAATAAAATTTCTCAGTTGCGGACGGGGTCTTGACCATCATAGTCTCAATTGCGGACGGGGTCATTGAGGGAATATTCAAGTACCAAAAAAGAATTTAAAATTAGCTCCGCCTGCAAAAAAATATGCGCTACCCTACAGATGACGTGAACGCTGATCGACGATCAAAATGTAAGACTTTTCTACATTATTTGAAGAACTTGGCAAGTTGGTTCTGCCCTAAAACACTTTTGTTAGAACATGAGGTTTTCGGTAGGATATATTTGTGGCCCTTAAAAAGGCCATTTTTTGATTGGAGCTGCTGTCTAAGGAGCAGTATTCGGTAGGAATTTTTTAGAAATTTTTTGGACAAAGTCCAATCTAGAAATTATTTTCATTTCATATTTCAGCATGAGTTCTCGAAGAAAGTTCTCCTTTTCCTGGGTTTTTTTGGATGTCGTCGCTGAACTTCGAAGTTTAATATAAATATCGGTCTGAATCGATTTGAGTGCTTCTAAAAATTGAAACAAATTAGGGTTCGCGGAGTTAAACATTGCATTTAATTTAGAATGAAATGACTCACAATTGTTTGTTGTGCGACGAGTTGTCTCGGAATGTTGAGCCCAAATTTCGGGAGGAAATGGCGAATTTGGTTTAATATAGTTTTCGAGAACATAGTCGCAGAAACCTACGACTCTTTTATCATCTGGAAGTATACTCATAATATCATCAGTGAAACAGTCACTGACTTCTTGAGCTGGTAAAAAAGGAAGTCCGAAAAATATTTTAAGGAAATTTGACAAATCATTATTTGTTCGGTACTCAGCAGCTAAGCCGAGATCTTGAATTTTACGCCACCAACTTTGGCCTAGATGAAACCAACACCCAATGATTTTTGAACGAGGGAAAACTCGATTAAGAGCTATATGAATGGATTTTTCGAAGTCTACGAGGATCAAAGATGGATTGAAAGACAAATTAAAAGCACCAATACGTTCAAGAATGATTTGAAAAGCTCGTTCATAAGTCGAGCTGGATTTGTCGGGCAAGAGAAAAAAAGCCAAAGGCATAAAAATATTTTTACGCAGACCGTGAATGATAAATACTTGTTTGAACGGTTTAGGACAACTGTAGAAAGTTCCGTCGATGAATATTTGGTCCATTTCTGACAGTGCCGATAAATT